AAAAACCATTTTTATGCATTGTAAAAAAAAAAAAAATCTGTCAAACCTACCTAGCTTAAGGGTCATTAATTACAATAAATTACACAAATTTTTTTTACTTAATTCGTCTCCTTTTACCGATTTGAATGAAAAATAGTATATTATATTATAATTTTATATTTTATTTTAATTAAATATAATATAATATAAAATTTTATATAAAATTCATTAAAAATACCTTAAAAATTAAAAATGATGGTTATCCTGGCCGACAAGGGGCACAGCCGCACGGGTTGGAATTTATTTTATTTTATTATATTTTTTTATTTAAACCCTTTTCGGATCCATCCACAAACATTTCTGGACGGCTGCGAAGACCTCAACTTCGACAGGTCTTTCTGTGGCTTTTGAGATTCATCTGTCAAGGTATGTATTCATTTTCCTCAGTTCCTGAATATCCCACTTAGCCACAACCAAATCCACTGGATCCGTCTACAGTTCTATTCCTGTTTTTATTTCATGTAAGGAGATAGAAAACAGTGATGGAGAATCCACTATGAGTGCATGACATGCTTGCTGGGAGTTTGATTCGATTTTTTTTTTTTTTTTTATCTGGGTGTTGCCCTTTGTCAGTAAATCATGTACAAAATGCAAGCTTTAAGCCTCTGCTCATCAAAAGGTGGCTCTTTTATGGTGCCTCAATTGGATTTCGAGCTGCGTTCTTCTAGTTTAGCATCCACCAGACCCGGCAGGAGAAAGGAATGTGATTTCCTTGGTAATGTTTGTAAGGTTAGAAGTTGTGGTTTCTTATTAGGTTCAAGATATTCCAGGAGTAGTTCCCGTGGGCTCTATTATAGCATCCCAAGATTTCATTTGAGAAGTGGGTTTCCCTCCAGGTACTCCAAAATGAAGTTGGTTCTCTTGTTTAAACCTCTTAAAGGTTCGTCTGGCAGTCTTTTTGAGTTAGCATGTTCAGTAGATGAACTTCTTAGCATAGAAGAGTCTAGTTCATTCAATGAGTTTTCAGGGAATATGAATAATCATACTTTAAAAATAGTGAATGATGATAAGCTTTGTGACCATGAAGAGGAAAATGAAAGTTTAGATACTAATAGTGGAGGAGTAACTGGAGAGGAGGAGAGTGCAAGGATTGATGTCCGTGCCTTGGCATGTAGTTTAAAGTTTGCTAAAACAGTTGATGACATAGAAGAGGTTCTCAATGACAAAGATGAATTGCCTCCTCAAGTGTACTCAGCCATTATTAGGGGTTTTGGAAGGGATAAGTGCATGGATGCTGCAATGGCTCTGGTTGAGTGGCTCAAGAGGAAGAAGGAAACTGGTGGCGTTATTGGCCCAAACCTTTTCATATATAATAGTCTATTGGGGGCAGTGAAACATTCTCAGCAGTTTGGAGAAATGGAGAAAATTTTGAATGATATGGCTGAGGAGGGGATCGTACCAAATGTTGTAACATATAACTCTTTGATGGCCATTTTTGTAGAGCAAGGCAAAGTTGACAAGGCACTTAATGTGCTCGAAGAAATCAAAGGAAAGGGCTTTACTCCAACTCCAGTATCCTATTCTACTGCCTTGCTGGCGTATCGAAGAATGGAAGATGGTAATGGAGCTCTGAAGTTCTTTGTTGAGTTCAGAGAAAAATATACAAAGGGAGAAATAGGAAAAGATGACATCTGGGAAGAAGAGTTTGTTAAGTTTCAGAACTTCACAGTTCGTATTTGCCACCAAGTTATGCGGCGATGGCTTGTGAAGGAAGGAAACTTGAGCACCAATGTGTTAAAACTTTTGAAAGATATGGATACCACTGCTCTTAAACTTAGCAGGGAAGACCATGAGCGCCTTGTGTGGGCTTGTACCCGTGAAGAGCATTATGTTGTTGCAAAAGAACTGTATAGTAGGATTAGAGAGAGGCATTCTGAAATAAGTTTATCTGTGTGCAACCATTTGATTTGGCTGATGGGGAAGGCTAAGAAGTGGTGGGCAGCTCTGGAGATTTATGAGGATTTGCTGGACAAGGGACCGAAGCCTAATAACTTGTCATATGAATTGATTGTTTCCCACTTTAAAATATTACTTACTGCTGCTAGAAAAAGAGGGATTTGGAGATGGGGGGTTAGGTTGCTCAATAAGATGGAAGAGAAAGGTCTTAAACCTGGAAGTAAGGAGTGGAATGCAGTCCTTGTTGCCTGTTCCAAGGCTTCTGAAACTACTGCTGCTATCCAGATATTTAGAAGAATGGTGGAGCAAGGGGAAAGGCCCACAATTATCTCATATGGAGCATTACTTAGTGCCCTTGAAAAGGGTAAACTCTATGATGAAGCCCTTAGAGTGTGGGATCATATGATCAAGGTGGGTGTTGAGCCAAATGTGTATGCCTACACAATTATGGCTTCAGTTTTCACTGGAAAAGGAAATTTTAAAATGGTTGATGCAGTCTTCAAAGAGATGGCGGCATCTGGTATTGAACCAACAGTTGTCACATACAATGCAATCATCAGTGGCTGTGCACAAAATGGTATGAGCAGTGCAGCATATGAATGGTTTCACCGCATGAAGGTTAAGAACATCTCGCCCAATGAGATCACCTATGAGATGCTGATAAAGGCTCTTGCCAAGGATGGTAAACCCAGGCTTGCTTATGAGTTGTATCTGAGAGCTCGTAATGAGGCACTTGACCTCTCTTCAAAGGCTTATGATGCTGTTGTTCGGTCATCTCAAGTTTTTGGAGCAACTATTGATTTTGGTGTTTTGGGGCCTCGACCAGCAGACAAGAGGAAGAAAGTGCAAATCAGAAAGACATTGACTGAATTCTGTAACCTGGCTGATGTTCCCCGTAGAAGTAAACCATTTGATAGAAAGGAAATATATGTCCCACAAACCAAAGAGAACCAGTAAGAATTCAACTGGTAGGTTTTAAGACTGAAATTTTTACTACATTTTATTGTCCATTTGAGTCTTTGACTTTTTAAGTAGGCCAGAATGAAAACCATAATTTATGGTTCCAGTTTTATTTCCTTGGTCTATCCTATACTGCGTGTGCATTGCAAAACCATCAAAGTGAATGCAGATTTTTACTTTATAATAAGCATTGCCTGAGACTCAGATTGATATTTTTGGCAACGAATATTCAAATTTAATGATTTAACTTCCCAAAACCATAGATGAAATGATTGGTAAGTGTTCAAGGTATCCCATTTGCATGCTCCTTGTTGTGCTATGATTTGAGAAATTTCCTTCGAGATTCAATTAGCTTCCATCACAAAATCTCTAGTTTTTTCAAGTTCAAACCTTGCAATTGGGGGCTGGGGGCCCTTAATTCCAAGCCTTTTCAACTAATCTCGTCTGGTTGAAATGAAGTTTTCACATTTTCCGGGAAGGTGGAGGAAAATGAGTGTTACCTGAGACATGTTTTTGAGTGTAATTTCAGACTTTTACAAGAAAAGAAATGAGTACCTGGAAGTGGAATTAAAATGCTGTCTTGTTCTGATTATGTCAAAGCCATTGCATGCACTGAATTTGGATGATAAGAAGCTTGAAATTTCTTATGGAATTAATGACATATCACAGCACCTGTTCTATTTCTACAACTTGTTCACCAAAAAAATCAAGAAAAAAAAAGGAGAAGAAAATAAGGGTAAAATTGCAAAGTCATTTATTGGACAAAGTTCAATTTTTTGGTAAAATCACCAGAACATGGTTTTATTATCAATCTCTTGTTGAAGAACAAATAAATGCAACCTTTTGTTTATGTATATAAATTTTTTGAGTACCTTAAAATTTTGAGAAGATTTTAAAAGTGCATCCTTAAGCTAATGACATTAAAAGAATTAATTTCTTTAATAATAAAGCTAATCTTGCATGAACTCCACCAAGCGGCTTGATGGTCGCGCGTCTCATTTGAGGTCAGAGAGTTGTTCACTAAATCTAGAGATCAAATCTCCAGTTGTTAATATCTAATAATACTAACCTACTAACAATTATTTTTATAAAAAACTAAATAATTAAGATATTTTGATTATTAAAAATATTAATATATTTAATAATAATTATGTAATAAATTTAATAAAATTAAAATTATATTATGCTCTATTAAATATTATAATTGTGATTAAAATCTAACATTAAAAATGTGAGATCTACTGATTTTTCCTTTCTCTATTTGTATAGTTTGATTCAAAGTTAAAATTTTTGGAACCGACCTCATTTTCACTCAGAATAGGTAATTGGTATCTATCAACTGCTTCTTCCTTCAACCTGAACGCCCATGTGACATTTTTCCATTATCTTATTTCAATTCATTTATTCATTCAGTTTTTCACTTTTTTTTTTTTTTGGCCACCATCCATTCAAAGTTCAAAGTTTGGGTTTTTAGCAAGTCGAGAAAGGGGAAGACGTGGCCCTTATCTCTTTTGGGTTTTGGCTGTTTCATGGTGATTTGGAGCCAGAACAAGGTGAGCTATGGATTTTCTGTGAGTTTATTTATTAATGGGGGGTGTTGCAGCAAATTGGATTTGATATATTGA